GGGAGGCACCAGCCATTCATGGGCAGAGGTGTGTAGTGAGGGATGTTTGTGCCGCCTCACTGCAGAAGGGATGTAGATGTATTGGAGAGAGCCCAGAAGAGGGCATTGAAAATGGTTAGGGGGCTGGGGAACCTGACTTGTGAGGAGAGGCTGAGGGACCTGGGCTTATTTAGACAGAAGAAGACTGAGGGGGGATTTGATAGCAGCCTTCAGCTACCTAAAGGGTGGTTCAAAGAGGATGGAGCTAAACTGTTTTTAGTGGTGGGAGATGACAAAACAAGGAGCAATGGTCTCAAATTGCAGCAAGTGGAGTTTAAGTTGGATATTAGGAAAAAACTTTCTCATGAGGAGGGGAGCAAAGCATTGGAACAGGCTACCCCCAGGGGTTGTGGAATCTCAATCCTTGGAGGTTTTTATGACCTGACTAGGCAAAGCCTTGGCTGGGATAATTTAGTTGGGGATGGTCCTCCGTTGAGCAGGCTGTTGGACTAGGTGACCTTCTGAGGTCCCTTCCAACTTTCATTTTTCTATGATTCCATTTGAAAGAGGCTTCATCTCTGTCCCCCCTAGCTCCATACTAGGCCTTGTCCTCTATCCACTCCCCAGTTCCCTGACCTTGTGCTGCTGCTCTTATTTCCATGGAAAGAAAGGCCATGAAACAAAAGCCAGGCTGTGTTTAACCAGTGGGGATAGGCAAACTAATGATACGGGTCCTTGAAACTGGTAACATACAGCTTGTACGTTTTGTAGCTGGGATAATCCTTGCCAGGGAGCCAGTGTAGGAGCATTGAGCTGTCCAAAAACATTTAATGAGGGGTTGAAATTGCCTAGGGGTGGCTCATGCCTTTAGAGGTTATGAAGAGTGGCTAAATTCCTAACCTTTACAAGGTTAAGAACTGCAAAGTTAAGACGGGTGTCACCTCCATGACACCGTTGGAATATGGTTCCCACTGGAACTGGTAGTAGGTGATACGAATGATTAAGGGAGAAGCAAGGTTAAACTCCCCAGGGAGTGGTGGCTTTTCTGTCTCATAATGTCCGCAGACACCTTTCTGGAAGATGCTGTAGTTAGTTAATCGTTGCTAGGCTCAGTCCAAGAGTAACTGGCTGCAATTCCCTGGCCTGGTTGGACAAGTTGTCGGATTAGGGGTCTGTACAGGAGTGCATGTTACATGCGCTGTTTACGGTGCTGTAATTTAGAGCACTTTTTATAGTACTATAAAGTTGCAGTGCTCTTAAACTTGACAGAAGTGCAGTGGTTGTTAGATGGGGCGGGGGAGCGGGGAAGGTCTCTGAGCCTCCCCGTGCTTTCCAGGCCAGGAGGCACTCTGTAACACTTCTCTACTGGTCAGAAATTTGACCAGTGTACCGAAGTTATTTAAAGCACTGTAGGTTGCTGAAGTGTTGTAAAATACAGTGCTTTGAAATTTATCGCCTCATTTAAGAAGGGTTAATTTTGAAGTGCTGTACCCATTTTTAAAGTGCTGTAAAGCCATACACTTCTGTTAAGTCATGGCAATAAAATGCTTTAAATGGCAAAAAAAAAAAAAAAAAAAAAAAAAAAAAAGCAACTTCTGTACATACGTGAGGGACCAAGTTAATGCCTCTTGCTATCAATGTCTGTGAATGCTTTAAGTGGACACCAGGAAGGCCTAGGAGAATATGCCACTATATGTGTTCCTCAGGCTTGAATTTCAGCCCTTTGCTGGCTGCCGTGCAGATGCATAAAACTGTTGAGTACACCTGTATTGCAAAATCTAGGGATTAGTGGAAGCAGATTGGCAGGGCTGTAACTGGTATGAGGAGATTGTGTACCTCTTTTCTGTGCTGGCTTTGGTAGGTTGTCAGAGGTGCAACGTGGGGCCACTGTCTTATAGGGATGATCAACAGCTTGGAGACTTGCCTAGCAGTTGTCTGAAAGGGTGATGCCATTCTACAAGATTAGGGTGGCTATTTGTGTATACATAAATATTGTGAAACTAGCCTGTAAGGGAGGTGGTGATTGTGGAGGGGAGAGCCCGGGTAAGGAAATGCATAGTAGAATGGAGTGCTTCTATGAACCAGTGATTTTAGGGTAGTCTCATACTTACTTTAGCTCCCTAATTTTGATTTGCAGTTTTCACACAAGTTCTTAATCTCAAATATTTCAAGATGGCAAGATTATTTGCTTTGTCTTGTTTTTGTTTAAAGCTTAGCTCTTGTAATTCTAAATTCAGATGTTTTTACATGTGTATATATAATTACCATTCTCTTCCCCCCCCCATCATTCTCCTGCAGAAGATGCTGTCTTTTCTTCTTACCCCTCTATTTTCTGCCTAGAAAGTATTGAAAAAGCACATTGCTCACACAGACATAGGTTTCAAGCAGGCACAGTATTGAATGTTGCTGGAATTATGCTGTTACCCATTTCCTAAAGAGCTAGATAGTGTAAAGGAGATTTGGCTTAATTCCTCAACATTTTTCATGGTAAAACCTAATGAAAGAAAAACTTCTTCATGTTAGTCTGGTAAGGTTTAGAGATGCCACAGACTAATGCTTCCAGATGCTTGGAAGTGCAAATAATCAGTGTCTGTCACATAAAATGAATGGCTCATAACTCATACCCTGCTGTTTTTAAAATAGTGCTAATGGGTTTTAAATTAACGTTACTGAGAGTATACGTTGGGTTTGTCATCTCGTATCAAGTTAAACAGAGGCAGTGGAATGAATGAATGAATAAATGAATACAGTTGGCAATGGGTCAAAATACTGAAGTTCATAGTGTGCTTTGCCAAAGGTTTTGATCCCTCCTGACAACTGGAGGACCCTTCCTGGCCTGCAGCCAAGGAGGTTTTTTGGTACCAGTTAAATTGTTGTTTGTGCACCAAATGATGCACAAAACTAGATGCACTCTTGATTTCATGTGCTTAGTACTCTTGGAAGGGTGCTTTCTTCACTGTAGTTTCTCATCCCTGACCTCTTCTTCCGACTCATTCTACTGTGTTGTTGCAGGCTGTGTCTTATTTGTAAATAGTTTGGGTTAGGGCATATTACACTGGCATGATTCATAAATGTGTTGAACTTTCAGTTCTCTGTAAAGGTTGTGTAGTAGAAGTAGAACTGCTAAAGCCCGTCGGTAACAAGATATGCAAGTTTCTCGTAGTGTAGTGCTGCTGGTCCTTGTAATGGATCTAACTCTATGCTGACTCAAGAAACCCAGGTTTCTGTGCCTCATCTTGCCCTCCCCTTCCTCGTATGTTTAATTCTGGAAATGCTTTTGCAATATCTGAACTGCACTTGGATAAAAAAACAGCAGGCTCTCTGGAATTCGTTGTACACAAGCATATCTTAGTATTGGCGAGCATAACTTGATGGAAAATGCTTCAAAGCCATGTGAAGCTGTGATTCTTTAGTTAAAAATTTTTATGGTATGCAAGAGCAGTTCCTTAAAGTGGTTGAGCACGGACTTGTTTCACAAGGGGGGGGGGGGATGCAGATTGCTTACTTAATGTAGGATAATTGCACAAATAGAGGGGCCAGATTCTGACCTTGGCAAGCTGGTGTTACTGAGGTTAGACTCTGTGCTGCAAGGTGCAGAAATTCTCTGCTGCAAAGGAAGGCAGGTGTGGACAGTGAATCTTGCAGCAAATCCCAGAGGGTTCAGCAGGTGCATGGCCTGCAATGATGTCCTGACCCAGTCCCACAGGGAAGGTCCCAGGGCATTGAGGGGCTCTTGGCCTTGCTGCCCAGTGCTTGCTCCTTCCCTTCATTTAACCACAAGGTCGAAGAGAAATAATTGAGTATGCTGAAGTAGAAATGTTAATTAACTTTTAATTTAGGCCTAACATATGCCTTTTTACAGGGCACTTCCTGCATGAAAGAGGGCAAATATACTGCATCTGTCACATTGTATTAAGGGTGGTGTATAGAAGAAACAACCAGAGGCCTTGGGTCTAAAAGGAGGGTTTAATCTTGCAGCTGCTCTGTGTGGCTTGATTTTTTTGCTTCAGTGCTTACTGGAAAGACAACTTGATTTTGGTTTTAACTTGTTGTATCTCTGTTTTCTCTTAAGCCAAACTTGCAAGACGTTGTCAAGAGAGGGAGAACCTTGGCATGCTGGTCTGGTCACCTAATCAGAACCTGTCTGAGGCAAAATGTAAGTCTTTAAATTCTGACCCCCCCCCCCCCCCCCCCCCCCCCGGAAGTC